CTCCATTTTTGCATTAAGAATCTAAATGCTAAAAGCAACCCTGTGATCTTCCAAAATTTCCACGATTCGAACATGGTTTAAAGAGAAAAAGTGGCAACATTGCTTTTTCGAGTATACAGTTGCTAGCTGCGTTTCAGTGATCGCCGATCGAGATTTCTTTTATTTTGCATTACATATTTGGATAAAGAAAAGTTAAGCAAATTCAACATCGATTTGATGCTGATAGAAATCTGGATCAATTTGTGATCAACTCAGTTTGGTTTGTTTCCTAATTAAGTGAGGAAATTTTAATTGACAGCACCGACAAATGAATATATACACAAACAAATGTTCGGTTATGGTTAAAACAATTCAAGTTTTTGTATTGAATTTTTGGTTTAAAATTAATTTTTTCCTTTTCAGTAGGGCTTTTGTACATTATCTTCTGCGTGAGAATTGATCGTAAGATATACGCATCTAAATAAGAGACTGGAACACGGCTGTTTGTCAAAAGCATACGATTTCGAACTCGCGTAAATGTACATTTGCTAAATGCTATAGCATGAACGCTCTTCGAAAACATATGTTCGAAAGTGCTAAATGTTGCATTTTAAATGCAGCAAAAACGCTGCATAAGAAACAAACATTTTCAAAACTGTTTCTATTTTTACCCATTTTGTAATAATTGGTTTAGCTTTTTAAATAATTTGAACTTCATTTTTTTAAAGGTGGCAACTCTTTTCGAAAAAGATATACCTTATTGCACAACCACAGCCAGAGCCTTTTAATTTGAAACCTCAAATGCAAAAAACGAACATGCGATACGGATCTGATGGTATTGATTATTAAAAAATTTGAATTAAATTGTACAAAAGGTGGCAACTCTTTTCGAAAAAATAAAACCATTGTGTCTTTCGTTCATGCCAAGGTACATGCCATTGTGCACATCTACAGGCAGTGTTGCCAACTTTTGAGTTTCAAAAAGCACCAAAACATGGGGAAAAAAGCGTTTTACCGTACTAAAAGCACTAATTTTTTTGTACCAAAGGATACTTTTTTCACAACAGTTTGTATTTAACAAAAGTAAAAAAATAAATAAATAAATAATATTTATTAATAGTTATATTAATACTTTTTCTCATGCTAATGAAGTAATACCGAAGTAGGTACTACAGATTAAAACTGGTATATTTAAAGAAAGAAAAATCTAATCGCAACAAACGAAAAACTGAATGTAGATTCTTTTAAATTCAGTGCTGCTACAGCTTTAAATATTTCAAATTATTTCATGTTTTAATTATCTATGAGAAATTTGAGTTCAGAAGAAGAGCACTAAAAAAAGCACTAGGCACTAACAATTTTTTTGGCGTTTTAATTTTCAAAAAGCACTAAATCTATTGCTTAAAGCACCAAGTTGGCAACTATGTATACAGGCCAAGCGCTTTAATTTGACACCCCAATTTTGAAAATCAAACGAACGGTGCAGATCTGTTATTCGTAACAAAAATCCCTTCGCGTATTATATATATATAGGTTCTAAAACACATCTAGCACGTATAAAAAAATTATTTAATGTTTTCTTTTAAATTTATATGAAGACTTAAGGCTGATTCACATACAACTTTCTTCGATAGTTCTTTGCTTTGACATATAAGATCGATGTAGGCATATCGTCGTTTAAAGTACAAAACCGCGTATCGTCATTCTGCAAAACCGCGTAACTGACATTGGCTGCCAAAAATTGGATTTGCTCACAAAAGCTCTTGGCTCAATCCTTATCCATTCGTCCTGAAATATACTTGTCAGAAATGCGGTTGCTTTATAAAAAAAGAGAACCATTTTGAAATATGAGTGTTTTTACGCTCTAGAAAATAATTTCTACAACTTCACACGTTTGCATTTTGTTGATACGCGGTTTTGCACTTTAAACGACGATATGCATGAGTATGCTCACAAAAAAAACCTTTGAAGCAAAGCAAAACAAAACGAAGCAAAATCTTGGGCAACTCTCAACCTTTGCCCGCTTTGGCAATCAGCTATCTACATGTATCTTTCCTCGTGCGCTTGCATTGCATTTAATGACAAAAATAGGGTAAATAGGAATGTTTATTGCTATTATTAGTGCATATTATTATATTGCTATCTATATTACAGATAAAAAATATGGACGACAAGGAGAACGCAAAAGCTGTCAAAGCGTTTACCTTTAACAATTTCTTCATACAATCTTTGTAATGACAGATTTTTTTCCTTTTAAGCTGTTAAAAATTACTGGTAGGTATCAGGAATGGGTAATGTGACCAACCGTACTTTTTTCGGAAGTACAGTAATTCTTTTTGAGCCGTTGTACTTCGTACTTCGAAGTACAGTAAAATGTACTTCTTTGCAATATTTTGTTCTACCCATGGTGCAATAAACAGGTGAATTAAAAAAACAGCTTTCTCACTTAATTTTCTGACATTCGGCTGCCTTATAGTATAGTAAAATTTTAAAGGCAATTTTTCAAATAAGGCAGTGTCAAAATCTTTCTTCTTGCTCTAACTACTTCACCTGGCATAATTCCGCCATGGTTCTACCCAAGGCACGTTGAACAGGTAGTATCCGTAGAGCAGCTGATTTGATTTTATGAAATTATTTGATCTTAAAATGTTGAATATTTTTAATTTCTTCTCATAAAAAATACAAATTGTCAAAATCTTTTTGCATGTGAAACCTTTTCCCATATAAAACCAGCGAAAAGGCCTAAATTTGTGTGAAAAGTAGGTGCACATTTGTGGCCAGAACGTTGGCATTGAAAAGTTGAACGTTGACAAAAAAAGACCGATCTCGTTACCCAGAAACCAGACTATACTTTCCCGAAAGTTTTCGGTGCGCTGAATTCAAATCTGGCCACAGAATTGCTCTATCACATCAGGATTTTAAGATATTCTTCTGACCTATAAGTTCAAAAATCACGGTTTTTGGGCACATTTGAGCTACTGTAACTCGATGAAAAAAATTTTTTTCAGAAAGATCATCTCGTTATTTAAAAGTACTACTTCTCCCCTCCAAATTTCATTTTAAAGTTTTAAAAAATCTTTATTTGTCACTGAGAAGTCGTCTGTTACTTAAATCGAACTGGTAGGCCATCGCTTTAGCACATACCTGTTATTGAACTAGCATCGGCGTAGCCAGAATGAAATTTAGGCGGGGGAGCGGGGGGAGGGGGGCTCGACCCTATTAAGCTGGCATTTCAGGGTACTATTTTATATATCTGTGTTCGTATGGAAAAGTAGCTTATGTCGAAAGGCTGGCTTTAGTATAAATCGGCATTCGCAGCATACGATTGCGAATGACTTTCGGGCGCTAAGCCGTTAAACAACTTTTAGCAAATAAACGTGCAAGAAAAATTTCCGATACTAGCAAGTCAATATTCTTTTTAAGTCTGATCAAAAAATTCCTTGTCGTTTAAAAAATAAAGGGAATGCCGCATTATACTAAAGCCGGCCTTTCGACATAAGCTACTTTTCCATACGAACACAGATATGTATAAGGAAAATTTGAAAGTTATGGGGGATGATCGAGCACCCCCCTGCCCCTACCTGGCTACGCCCATGTGAACTAGTACTGTTACTGACTGGTTTGGCTTGTCACTGCACACGGCGATGGCACATACATAGAGAGAGTTTTCGCTTAACAAAACTGAGAACCCCGGTTCGAATCGCAGC